ATGTGTCTTGGCTGTGGGCATGACTTGTGATGATATCTACAGTAAATAAAATAATTTGATTGGCAACTGCCCAGCCATATTAACATTTCATTTACATACAGACGATAATGGACTATTACATTGATATTTGGAAAGCCCCAGTTACTTAATCACTGTGAGTTTTAAAGTTTTTGTTTTTTTTTTTGCTTTAAACTTGGTGCAATTTATATACAATCCTCATAAAGCTCAAGGCTGTGCAAACAGCAAAATGTAGGGGCTTACAAGGAAATATTGCAGGTTTATCATGTTTGCACCACCTGGATGTTATTTATTTATTCATTCATTCATTCATTCATTCATGTATTTATATTTTTTCTTGCTTGGAGGAATAAAAATTGAGTTTGAAAAAATGAAAAATGCCAGTATTTGGAGTCAGAGCACATCCACCAGAAGCAGATGGATTGGAAGTGAGCATTCTGGCTCCATCACTACTGACTCAGATGCATGGAAAAAAATATAGTAGCAAACACCTCATGGAGATAGAAGGGTCTGCCTAACGTCAGGGCTACAGCGATTAGTCAACATAATTGATAATTAACATATTCAACTAAATCAAGCAGTAAAAACTCACAGACGTAGATTTTTATAGTCAAAGCATTGTCTACTTTACCAACAACAAAAATGAGTTAGAAAAGTAGGCTAGGACAAAAATATAAAAAAAAATGAGTGATTTAAACACTGCTAAGACAGTTTTCATTGTGAAAATGAACACAACAAACTGAGTAATTTCACTTACTACATAAAGGTTTCTCATCTAGATTACAGATCAGGAGGTATGACCAAACAGGGAAAAAAATGGGTTTTGTGCAGAGTGAAAGTGTGAGCGATGGATAACAAAAGATCAAGCTGTGCTCTTTCCTTCTGAACTGAAATGAGGAAATTATGTTATTAAATAGCAGTCACACTGGCTGTTTGCTTTTTCTGTTTGCTTTGTGATTCTTCATTTCTGACCACTCATGTCACATGGAATTTGAGTACACATCTAGCTCATAGAAGAAATAACATCACAGACTGAACTTTCAGCAAGCAAAAAACTGTAAGCGTAATGCAAAACAGTATATACAAAGATGGATGATGCATGTTTAAAAGGAAAATTATGCGAAAAAAAAGTAAAATATGTGTAATACTAGCTTAATAGTGTGAACCACTACTGAACTGGGTCTGTGCTACATTTGGGCCAGATATTAAAAATAATATTCAGACATGCTACAGCTTAGGCCCAGATTGAACAATATTCTTTGTTAACCCAGGCCAGTTATAAATCTCTTTTGAGGCAAATACATAAAACAGATCAGTTCCATTATAGGGCCATTGTGCAAGAGGATACCAGGCAGGCTCTGGTATTCAGATCTGTAGCAGATGCAGCTCTATATTTGGCCTTAATCCATATGTTGTCTGAGTAGCTAATTAATAAGATAAAGAAATATAAACAAATATAACTCTGCTAATAAACAACAGTCTGTTCCCTGCTATACTCTATTATTTGATGCTGTGGCCACTATTGTTATAGACAATATAGAGTTTCAGTTCATGAGATAAAACTGACAAGGGCACATTAAAAACCATTTCACCTTGTTGGTTTGTCAAAACCTTAGAACAATGACCCTTGAATTTCAAAACTACATGCTTATTAATAGATGAAAGGTCAAGAACTGTCTTTATTACAAACAGAGACTCAATTTTTGCATTCTGAATCTGTCACCTAAGTGCTCCTTGAATACCGTACAGACAGTGCCATCAATGCTTACTTGGTCACTAAAAGATGAACCGTGCTTGTGGAGGTCACCATACAGAGACACTGAGACAGTCTATACCTTTTGCAGACAGGGTTCATTACACACTACCTACAGTATTCAAACAGCTTTGAGTAAAGATATTCTGGACAAGAACACATTTCTCACTAGTGCTCCCTTTCAGGTCTTATCGTCTGCACTGATAAGCCATGAAAGTAGCACTCAGTAAGATCAAAAAACTCCAACAGGCCCTATGTAATAGCTCTTGGGAACTGTAGCTAACTGCTGAAATAAAATAATTGAAACATGTACCATCTCTGGTATGGAGTTTTGTAAATTGCGGTAAGTGGCTGTCAGAAGACCTTGATGAACTCTGAAAGGAGGCTGAGGGGAGCGATGCCAGCAGTGGTTCTTCACAGTAATCTAAATACGAGAGACAGAGAGAGACAGATAAACAGATATACATTAATGTTTTGGACAACTCAAACAGTAGTAAAATCACCATGCATTAAAATATGAAATTCAGCTCTGACTGGAATTCTGAACAGAAACATCCCATATTTATATATATATATATATATATATATATATATTCATGCTTTTGTTGGATTATCGGATTGTTGGATTAGTGTAATGCCTTACTGTCTGGCTGTTCCAGTAGGTGCATAAACAAGATCCAGTTAGTCCAGAATGCACCTGCAAGAATCCTTACTAGAACCAGAAGATATGACCACATCACCCCTATCTTATCCACACTGCATTGGCTCCCAATCAAATTTTGTATTGATTATAAAATACTACTTTTGACCTATAAAGCACTGAATGGTTTCCACAGTACCTGGGCAAACTTTTGGTCTTTTATGATCCACCATGCCTACTTCGATCAAACAGTACAGGCTGTTTGTTGGTACCTTGAATAGTGAAGGCTACAGCAGGGAGTAGAGCGTGAATAGGTTTTTCTTAGGTAAAGGAGCAGATCTGAAGGGTTCACAGGCATAGAGTGTTGTGGTGAACTGGGATGTTTGGATGCTGTCACCCCCCCACTCTCACACGTTCACTCAGGAGGAAAAAAATGACAAAATCAAACATTTACCTTGACCACTATGTCATTAACTTATAGAAACTAGCTGTTTAATTGCCAACAATTAGACAGCTTTCTGATTAAAAAAAAATAATAATTAAAGGTCTCATTCTGAATGCAGTCTTATAATTGTAATCATGATTCATAAAGCCCATTTCATATTCCTAAGAAATACATTCATTCAGAGGTAAAAGATCAAGATCTTACACTGAAACGGGAGAAAGTAATTCTCTGTATTATGATAAATGTGCATTAAATTACCCTCTCACACATTCCCTGCACTTTTGTTTAATAAGGATGGCAGCACTGCTGACCTTTCTGAAGGCAATCAATGGCTGTGACAAAAATCAGCTTTTAGTGTAAGGATAAAGTACTGAGAAAGAAAGAAAAATAGAGATGAAATGACAGCATTACTGATAATAGCCTCCTGACATTTTCTACACATTTATTTCATTATTTACGTATTCATGACAGTCATGCTCGTGGTGTGTTGCATGCAGTAATGCAGTACTTTCATGGTTTTATTACTTCCTTTCTGTGTTTTAGATGATGTATCACGAGCAGCAATAAAACTGCCAGTAATCTGTGAGATTAGTAACGAAAGAGCTGGACTGTACTTCCCTTCTAAAGCAAAAGTTATTTGATGTTTCTTCTTTGTCATTGTGTTTAATGGGATAAAAAAAATACAATTAGCCAGCAGACAAGCATATTTCTAATGATCTAGCTACTACATGTTTGGCTGTACATTGGGTAAACTTTAAAGTCTGTCTTAGTTGGAATGTGTACCATTCAATTACAACTGTAAGAGTCTGTGGAATGATGAGATGAGCATGATATACAATCAGCCTATCAATTCATTTAAAATAACATATCAAATGTTTATGGTTTTGGATGTTTAGTAGATAATCTATGCCCACTCTCTCTCTCTCTCTCTCTCTCTCTATCTATCTATCTATCTAACTATTTATCAACTTGTAAAATATTTTTCTTTCATTTTATTTGGAAGGTCCTGTTTTTAATTCTTCATATTTAGTAGATCATCTATAGACTAGCAACTCATGTGTAAACCTATCATAATTGTAAATTCAATTCATGTGGACTCTATTGATGCATTTGTTGAAACATACATGAACATTGGTTGAAATTCATGGCAGATGATCTGTAAAGTGTCTTAAGTGGACTATCCAAATAAAGTGTCTTTTGCCATACATTGCAATGTATATGTTTTGAATAATAAGCAATGTATCCTAAATGGCTTTATTTTAAATTGGAAGGAGGAGGTTTCTGTTACTCAATTCAAAGAGAAAGACTATTGTTAGTGCACAGGTTTTAATATATAACACACAGTATATTTTATCTATTTTCTCAGTGAAAGTAAGGGCTATATATGTTACATACAGATAGAAGGCTGAATGTGATTGAAATGGGTAAATGTACATTTGATTTACAGTGATTACAATTGAGTAATATACGTTTGGAGAAACTTGCACAATGTTTTCATGGAACTGGACACAATCCTGAGTTAAAAGAGAATAGCAATTATATATGTATATTGATCACAAAGGAAACATCTTGAAGCTACAGGGATTGAATTAACACTGGCTCAGATTGTCTTCAGGCTCTTCATCATCCTTTCAGATGCTGCAATTCACATCTGACCAATAATATAAATTGAAGGTCTGCAGTACTCAAGTACCTAATTCCTGTGATATACTAAGACAGACACGGAGAATGTCTGTTAGTGCTGATTGTCCATTGTGAAATGTGCTATGTATAATATTCCACATGCTGGCATAAGGAAAGTGATGTCCTTGTGCAAGCAATGTTATGTTGTGTTCCCTCAGCATTTCATTTTAGCATTCAAGGTTGGACTTCTCTAATGAAGCTTGTTTGTGCAGACTGTTCACATTAAAACCTGGATCTAAGAAAATATGCTCATAATGCAAGAAAAACACCAGAATGAACAGCAGGTTGGGGAGCCATTAGCTGTGTCCAGGGAGCAATCTAATGTTCTCTCTTATTTCTGTTATTTCAGAGTAGGCATTTTATACCAATTTCTATGGTACGTAAGTGAAAATATAACCCTATTTAGACTGGCTTTACCAGATAAACATTTAACAACGAGTACTGAATATCCCCTGTCAGGGTCCCTGGAGATCTAGTGGTTAGGCCATGGCACTCTCACTGCCTTAGCCTGGGTTCGATTCCCAGCCAGGGTCGAGGGTTGCGTCAGGAAGGGCATCCAGCGTAAAAACTGTGCCAAATCAAATATGTGGACCAATGATCCGCTGTTGTGATGCCTAATGGGAGCAGCCAAAAGAAGAAGAGAAACAACAACTGAAAATTCCCTCTTCTTAATTGCGCTCTCTCTCTATCATCCACCCATTCAGACACATGCACAGGTGAGCAATAGTGCCAGTCAGCATTGTTTCCATTCTAACAACTAACCATATCTTTGGATTTTATCCACTGTTTGTGGGAAGTCATACACACTTATTGTCACTTTATTTTAAAGAAAATGCTGGACACAAACAGACCTTTCAGTTGTAGAAGAGTTGAAAAGTGCACACATAGCAAGAAGACATGACTGTACACAACTACTCGTAGAACAGTTTAAATCAAGGGGGTCCAAAGTCTGGCTCCAGGGACAAATGCAACCCAGGACAGATGTTAACTGGCCCACAGCTTTTCTTTAAGAATGTATGATAGGTGTCCTGCCAGCCAACACATTGCCTTTTTCCCCTGACTACACCAGTGAATTAATTTACAGAAAGATATTTAGTCATGGCTACAGAGTACAAGTGCAAAGTTAACAGTGAGAAGGGGCGATTTCAAAAGAGCTGGAAACCACTAAGCATTGAAAACCTTTTTGTGAATTCTTGACTTCCTGAAAGAGTCATTAACTAAAATGGATTTGAAAATGGAAATGACAATTTAACTTATGATTATTAGTTTGTCCAATTTTTTCCCCTCATTTGGGGTGGGGGGGTGGTAGGAGGGGGCTGTGCACAAGTAAATGTGCTGTAATTCCCGATGTGGATGTGAATACCCTAACAATGAAGTTGAAAGTCTGCACTTTGAGATCATATTCACTGTTTCATTTCAACTTCAATATACTGTGTATATGAATGTATATTACTGTGGCCTTAGGGTATTTTAATAAGGTCTAATCCTGCCCCCCTTTAAAAACGACACCCCTGATTTAAATCAAGTGTACAAGGTTTCTAACATTATGGCAGCCTATTTGATACTGTATAGGCTTAAAATAATGGATTATTGAAGCAAGATGTTAACATCAAGACCATTTAAAAAAAAACTGATATCATTGTTTGTGCAAAAGAAAATGATTAAACACAAAACCTTATGTCTCTAATCAATGATCATAAGTGTTATCGCTTCTAGAAATCTTTGTTGCAGGATATTTCAGTAAACAAAACTAATTTCCCGGTGGAGTCTCTGGCCTTGAGATAGGCAACAGATAATATAAAAACCAAGTCTAGATTTAATTATCAGAAGCACAGATATGAGACAAAGTGCTGTATTCTCCAAGGATCATGCAGAGTTAGGCATACAATAGCACACTATCTACACTAACAAACGATAGTTATTGTTGAGTGGGTGTGAGTCTCATACACTAAACTCTGAGCACCAAGAAATGACCACCTATTTAGACTGCTAAAGAAAAAAGGGTGGTCATTTCCTGGTGCCATACAGTAGCATTCAGTTTGTTCAGTAAATGTGTTTCTAAATAAATCCAACAAGCACTTGTGCATGTTAGTGTATATCTTATTAGGTGTGCTTCCTGTTGAAGTGTGTTATTACTGCTATTATCACGTGTTTGTGTTATTATTGCTTCAGTTTATGAGATTAGTACAGTCGCTAAAGCCTATTTGCAATTCTGATTACTAACATAGTACTTAGTTCAAATCTTGGGCAATTTTATTAATTTGAGTTACACATGCAAAAAGAGGTCAGGAGTTACAGTTTTCCTTGATCGATTTTTACACATTTCTCCAAATTAATGTAATTGCTCTCAAAACAATTAACACAGCCAACTAAACACACTCTTATCTTGGCCAAACAGTTCAATTGTACTGCATAATGAAGCACTGCATTTTATACTAGTAATGCATTTATTAAAAATAAATACTAACATCAAAACTACAAGTGTGTTTGATTTTAAAACATATTCAGCTGTAGACACACAAAAACATGAATGAAAATACATGTATATTGTGAAGTTTTTTAATGAGGAGTTTTGTGGTATATATACATTATATATATAGGTAGATAGATAGATAGATAGATAGATAGATAGATAGATAGATAGATATAGAATTTCAGATATAGAATGATGAATGGTGAATGGTGGAATTGGAATCTTTTTTCTTTTCCCCATTTGTAGTTGTGTAAACAATTAGGAAATTTGCATTTCCTGTTGTGTGTATTACTAACTACTTGAAAAAACCCCAACATTGGAGCACAGTGTAGGAAATTTGAATAACAGTGGACACAAGCTCACCTTTTTCCAATCTTCACCTATCCAGTTTTTTGCCTACTGTAGCCTCAGATTCCTGTTCTTGGCTAACAGGAGTGGAACTTGATGTGGTTCAATGTGTTGTGCATTCTGAGATGTTTTTCTGTTCACCACAGTTGTAAAGAGTGGCTATTTACACTGATCAGCCATAACATTAAAACCACCTGCCTAATAATCTGTAGGTCCCCCTTGTGCCATCAAAACAGCTCTGACCCATCAAGGCACGAGGACTCCACAAGACCTCTGAAGGTGTGCTGTGGTATCTGGCACTAAAGACATTAGCAGCAGATCCTTTAAGTCTTGTAAGTTATGAGTGTTGCAGTGTAGCAGGGCGCATTATCCTGCTGAAAGAGGTCACTGCCATTAGGGAATACCGTTGCCATGAAGGGGTGTACTTGGTCTGCAACATCTAGGTAGGTGGTATGAGTCAAAGTAACATCCACATGCTTGCCAGGAACCAAGGTTTCCCAGCAGAGCATTGCCCAGAGCATCATACTGCCTCTGCCAGCTTGCCTTCTACCCACAGTGCACCCTGGTGACATCTCTTCCCCTGGTAAGCAACACACACACACACCCGGCCATCCACATGATGTAATTCATCAGACCAGGCCACCTTCTTCCCTTACTCCATGGGCCAGTTCTTATGCTTACGTGCCCATTGTAGGCGCTTTTGGCTGTGGATAAGGGTCAGCATGGGCACTCTGATCAGTCTGCAGCTACGCAGCCCCATATGCAGCAAGCTGCGATGCACTGTGTGTTCTGACACGTTTCTATCATAGCCAGCATTAACATTTTCACAATTTGTGCTACAGTAGCTCTTTTGTGGGATCGGACCACATGGGCTAGCCTTCACACCCCCATGCGCATCAGTGGGCGTTGGGTGCTCATGACCCTGCCGGCAGTTCACCGTTTTTCCTTCCTTGGACCACTTTTGGTAGGTACTAACCACAGCATACCGGGAACACCCCACAAGACCTGCTGTTTTGAAGATGCTCTGACCCAGTCGTCTAGCTGTTACAATCTGGGCTTTGTCAGAGTCGCTCAGATCCGTACGCGTGTCCATTTTTCCTGCTTCCAACTTTGAGGACTGTCTTCACTTGCTGACTAATATACCCCACCCCTTGACAGGTGCCACTGTAAAGAGATAATCAATGTTATTCACTTCACCTTTCAGTGGTTTTTATGTCATGGCACATCGGTATAGGTTACTGTAGCCTTGCTGTTAGACTGAACCTGTCTGGTCATTGTTTTCTGACCTCTCTCATCAACAAGGTGTTTCTGCATGCAGAACTGCTGCTAAGTGGATGTTTTTTTTTTCACAAAAAAATCCATTCTTTGTCGTGCTCGAAAATCCCAGTAGATCATCAGTAAAATATTCAAACCAGCCCGTCTGGAACCAACAACCATGACATGGTCAACGAGAACACATTGTTCTCCATTCTGATGTTTGATGTGAACATTAACGGAATGATTTTATGCATTGCACTGTTACCTGGTTGACTGGATGATCGCCCAATTTTACAGTGAATAAAAACAAGCAAATTCACTTAATCACATGGAATAATTCTATTTCTCTAAAGTCAAGCAAACTGTGGAGTGTAGACAGCCCCCAGAATTTGAAGTGTTTGGATGATTGATATTAAGTAGAGGATGTTCTAAAGGTGAATCGGAGTCTCTGAGTGTTCAGATGGGGTGCTGATGAAGGGCCCTTCACTTCTGACCTGTCCACATCATCATTATTCTAAAGGTCAGCTATTATTGCCCTACTCCTTTACATAGCCAATGCCCTATCAAACAGAACACAGAGTACAAGGGCTGCCACCATTAACACTCGAGACGACAAAAGATGGGGAAGGAACAGGCACAAAAATGAAGCCAGAAATGGGGATGGGGGGTGTAAATAGTTTGAAAAAAATATGAAGAAAAAATTGTGAAGGGGAAAATGTCATAAAAAAGTATAAGAAAGTTGGATAGGTGGCAAAGATAAGACAGCAAGACAGGACGTGTGCAATCACAACAGCATGCACTTCACACATATCCACTCGAAACAATGTACATGGCAGCTGTTTTAGCCAGCCAGCTCTGAGCCATTTATAGCTTTTACAATCACTCAACTGATGGGTTGCCATGATCACTGTGATTAGTAAGATTAATGACAGATTAAGGTGTGATTATTGAATTTCCACCAATCAGCTTGTCAATCAATAGTGCTATTGTGCATCCAGGAGCTTTTTGGTAATAGGATAACCAAAAGCCTATTAGAAATTAAATGGGTCCATTTGCTTTTAGTGGTTGTGTAAGTAAAATGTACATTTGGAGAAGCCATGAGATGTGTATTTTGATCCATATCAAAAGATTTCATACTAGATATATGAAACAGATTTATTATATCTTCATCTACAACCCCATTTCCAAAAAAGTTGGGACACTTTTGTAAAATGTAAATGAAAACAGAATGCAATGATTTCCAAATCATTTAAAATCTATATTTAATTGAAAATAGTACAAAGACAACGTATCAAATATATGCTAATTTTGAATTTGATGCCAGGAACACATTTCAAAAACATTGAAACAGGGACAACAAAAGACTGGAAAAGTCATGTAATACTAAAAAAAAAAAACACCTGGTGGAACATCTCACATCTAATTAGGTTATTTGGCAACAGGTCAGTAGCATGA